AGTGGTAGTGGTAGTGGTAGTGGTAGTGGTAGTGGTAGTGGTAGTGGTAGTGGTAGTGGTAGTGGTAGTGGTAGTGGTAGTGGTAGTAGTAGTAGTAGTAGTAGTTGTAGTAGTAGCAATAGCAGTAGCAGATACAGAAGCAGTAGTAGTGGTAGCAGTAGCAATAACAGCGACAGTGACATTAGCAGCAGCATTATCCGCAACAGCAGCAGCAATAGTAGTACTAGGCATAATAGCAATAGCAGTAGTAGTTGTAGACTTAAAAATTCACTAAAATCAATGCTGCTTTTGTAGACGTCTAGTCCTATGTATTTTACTACTCCTCCTGAGATGAACTGGAACGTAACTGGAGAAACCCTAAGAATATTATGTGCATGGAAAACATAGCGAAAAAATGTTTTGTAAAAAGTAAAAAGTAGAAACACAACTCCCTTAAATAGATTTCATTGATTCGTCCACGATTTTGACACTCGAATTGGCAATGGCGCGTTAGATTAGCCCCCTCGTCAAGCCTCCTCTCTGAAGGCAAGTTATTTTTTTCTTCTCCTCCAGAAGAATACCATCCTCCAATATGAACGGAGCTTAGTTTTATAGTTGCAGTAAATTTTAATACACGTAAGGTGCTGATACAAGGTGTAGTTTTGCGCGCACAGGTACAACGCGTGAGTTGAAGTCGCGTCCCCCTCGGAAAAGGCGATATTCCGCGCGTACCTCCTTTCAGTTTATTGTCCTCACAAAGCAATTTGTAAGCCAAGACAAAGTAGCTGGCTTTAACCACGTAGGTAACGCCGCCACTCCCATAAGGGAAACATATATCGAGTTTTGTGCGAATTTCTTTTGTCCCAGTTATAAACCCTGAGGCCCCACGTGACCATTCTCGTCCCCAGGGCCACTCGGCTTAATTTGTAACCGACCAACCAAGAAACGACGGGCTCTGGGGACGAGAATGACATGTGACGATTCGCAACGATGAGTTTTTGCGCAATACAGCATAGCAATGTCGGAACAATGTTGCAACCATTCAAAAAAAATGTCGCAACATTGTTGAAATGTTGTGTTGTGTCAAAAATCGTTGCAAATCTTCCCGTGTAACATCACCTTAAGAGTGATCAGCATCCAATTTCTCCTTATAATATCAATGCTTTATGAAACAGAGTAGAAGAAATAATTAAGGACATGATCACAGACGATGAATCTGATACTTCATCGTATTCTCTCCACTGCTTCCATAGAAAACGTATAGGGACAACAAAAGACGGAGCCACTCGCCGGTGCCGTGGATCTTTGCCGCCCCCTCAAGTGTTATAGTCGGAGTCACAAATGTGTGGAGTTTTTCGCTCTCGTGGATTACCGAGGGCGAGGGCGTGGAGTAGTCCACGAGCTTACAAAAAATTCTTCACATTTTGACTGCGACTATACTACTAGAGAGAATTTGAATTTGTTACTGAACAAATCAAGTCGGAATTGAAAACAGGGTGGTGGAAATCAGTAAACTACGACAGCTACAATACATGTGGGCATTCCTCACTTACTATACTATTCAATACTTTTTCAACCTCCATTGACACAAATCGAAATTAAAAGGGAAACGATATTCGAATTGCATTTTCTTTAACCATTTTCAGCAAATTTTAGTATGGCGATTTCTCTCACTCCCAAATTTTCACTGGTTTTGGAAACTCGGGAGTGAAAGAAATCGTTAACTTTGGATGGGAAAATCAACACACAGGAAGCAAGGAGTGCTTACCGAAACCACCCGCCCGGGTGGAAATCTTGTGCATAACATGTTAATATAAAACTGTAACAAAGCATATATCGACTATATCCAAAGCAGCTGTACAGACTAAAAAGGGGAGGAAAATTTCCATAACGCAAGCTTTTTTAGGAGAGCTCGTATCTCGTCCCTCCCAAATAGGCATGAATAGATTGTGCTAGTAAATTCAGGAAAAGTTGCTTCACAATATACCCAAAAGTTGCTCTAAAGTTGCTCAAATATCAAAAAGTTGTCACCAAAATTTAGAAAAGTTGCTTGCTCTCTAGAGTCGTTTTGTTTTAGATAAATACTCAAAACGTGTTTGTTTGTTTGTTGCCATTTAAACATTTTCAATTCTTACAATCATTAAAAGAGGTCAAAAGCCATTGTTATATGACAAATATAAATACTATGAAATAAAATCAGTTAAAAAAAAAACAAAAACATAAAAACATAAAAAAACATAAAATCAGTTTTGATAAAACCAGTTTTAATAAAATCCTTCGAAATGAAACGACCTTTTATGGTTTGGATCGGTTTTATATCAATTTGTTGCTCAAAAGTTGCCAAGGAAGGCAAAAGTTGCCCTAGGTTGCTGGTACTACAAAGAGTTGCTCAAAACGCTAAAAGTTGCTCAAAAGTTGCCGAGCACAATCTATTTATGCCTTCTCCCAAATGGGGGGAATCATTTGATTTCCACCGGAATTTCCGGTCTCACACCGAGCTTGGGTAAGCTTGGGTGACCTGCAACCTCGCCCCACCCAAAGCCCTGGGGACGAGGTTTGGGTGAGGGTTACTGGAAGACTTGGAGACCTTCGGGCGCTAATTTGCTAACTCGCCTTAACTCGCAGGAACTTGTAACTGTCTTGATTTCTAAGGTTTTTCGATACGAAGATAAGGTAAGGAATCAATGACTTACACTCACATTGG